GCATACATTATGTAAAATAATACTGTTCTTTACTAAATAATATTTCCTAAAGCAATAGATTATCTTTGTTGGGATTTCCCTAAATTAACTCCTTAATTACAGGAGCAGTTTTAACAATTACGCATATCCATTCTAAGAACTATTATTCATTTTGTTTTCCGAAAAAATAAAATGATTCTATGCAATGAATTTGGAGCTCAGTAAAATAAAATCTCCATCTTCTTAGGAGAGGGAAACATGCACTATTATCAGTGAAGGACACTTGGGGACAGTGAGGGGTAAATTACTAAGTTTTGTATGTAAATATACCTAAATGCCAACACCCAGTCTATTACTGACTGAGTGGGTAGCCATGGGATAGTTATGTTATTTCTATGAGATTCCTTTATTCCCTGTTATAGTAAAATTGGAGCTCACATTATTTAACTCAGAGGGTTGTGCCAAGAATTACATGAAATAGTACATGCTAATGTTCAACAAATGGTATGTGGTTAGTTTTCAATAAATGTATCTATTATTGTGTGTTACTGTGGTTGTGATCTACAAGCAATACTAACCTTTAAAACTATAATATTATTAAATTAGAGGCCCAGTGCACAAAATTCGTGCAAGGGGCATGTCCCTCAGCCTGATCTGCACCCTTTCCAATCTGGAACCCCTTAGGGGATGTTTAACTGTTGGGTTAGGCCCCATCCTCTGCTGGCCTGATCACCCCCAACTACCCTCCCCTGCTGGCCTGCTCACCATGTAGGATTAGGCCTAAACCAGTAGTCAGACATCCCTCTCACAACCCAGGACTTGCTGGCTCCTAACTGCTCACCTGCCTGCCTGCCTTATTGCCCCTAACTGCTTCTGCCTGCCAGCCTGATTGCCCCCTAATGCCCTGTTGGCCTGATTTATACCTAACTGCTTCCCTGCTGGCCTGATTGCCCACAACTGCCCTCCCTTTTCTGGTTGTCCCTAACTGCCCTCCCCTGTTGGCCTGGTCACACTCAACTTCCATCCCCTGATGGCCTGGTTACCCCTAACTGCCCTCCCTTGCAGACCTGGTCCCCACCCCCCAACTTCTCACCCCTGACAGCATGATCATCTCCAACTGTCCTCCTTTGCTGGCCTTGTTGCCCCACACAGCCTGCTGTTTAATCATTTGTTCATCCCTCACTCACCCCCCTGCCTGCTGTTTGGTCATTACTTTTACTGTGATGAAGTCCTGGACAATTTGCATATTCCTCTATTATTAGAAAGACTACAGGCTCATCTTGCCCAGTCCTGATTGGGGCCAATTCGGGCCAGCAGCCAGGGGGAGGGATTGTGGGAGGTTGGCTGTGGGAGCACACTGACAACCAGGGACAACTCTTGTGTTAAACAACTGCCCCCTGGTGGTCAGTGCTCATCATAGCTACTGGCCAGTTGTCTCCTCGTCCAGTCGTCTGGCTGTAACAGTCACTTAGGCTTTTACATATATAGACTAGGGGCCCAGTGCACCAATCTGTGCACCTTGAAAGGATCTGTAGGCTGAGAGGCTGCAGTAGGCATGGGGGCCAGTTTTGGCCCATCTTCCATGCCTTCACCCAGCAATTCCTGCCATGGTCCCCAGTCCTATGTCTGCTGGCAGCCCTGCTCCCACTGCCATTGCTCCCACATGCTGATGCCAGCCCCACTCACACAAGGTGATGGTGCAGAACAATTGGGACCGGTGCCAGGATCAAGTCTGGAGCCATTAGTGGATGCGAGTGGCAGCTGATGCCCCAATCACCTTTCAGGAGAAGAAGGTTGAGAAACTCTCAGGGTGACCAGGGCTGGCAGCCACGACTCACACCCACTGATGGTGTCAAGTAATTGGGACCAGTACCTGGCACTGGCAGTGGGTGTGAGGCGCAGCTCTGGCACCAGCAGCGGGTGAGACCTGGGCTGGTGCCAGCAGCAGGTGCGAGTGCTGGGCAGGACCATGGCACACAGGAGCAAAGAATTTTCAATAACCACCTGAGACTCACCCCGATGACTGCAACCAGTGCCCTGCCTTGGTCTGGTGCCCCAACTCATCTGCTCCACCATCTCACTACAGCCAACACCCACATGTTCCACCAACGCCACCTGGTGGTCAAAACACATCATAGCAACCAAGTTCTGTTTGGTTTGTTGTTCCGCTGTTTGATCTCTTTATTAGAATTTTATTATATAGGACTAGAGGCCTAGTGCACAAAATTATAGCCCAGCCTGATGCCTCTCACAGTCTGGGAACTCTAGGGAATGTCCTACAGACAGCTTAGTCTGGCCTTCCTCTGTCGGAGGCAATAAGGATGATCAGGGAAAGTGCCACCCCCATCACCCTGCTGCTGCTGCCACTGCTGGCTGCCACAGCTGCCAAGGTGTTTTCATAAACACAGACTCCAGTCCCTTCACCACGAAAAAAATATCAACTTTCTTTAGGCATTTTCGAGATGTCTCTTTCATAGGATATGACATTTCTTCCTTCCTGCCTGCCTTCTTGCCTTTCTTCCTTCCTTCCTTCCTTCCTTCCTTCCTTCCTTCCTTCCTTCCTTCCTTCCTTCCTTCCTTCCTTCCTTTCTTTCTTTCTTTCTCCTCACCTGAATATATATTTTTTCTGATTTTTAGAGAGCATGGGAGAGAGAATAAAAGACAGAGAGAGATACCAATGTGAGAGGGACACTGCAATTGGTTGCCTCCTGCATGAGTCCTGAACTAGGCTCTGGCCAGGGCGGAGCCTGAACCTAGGTACATGCCCTTGATCAGAATCGAACCCAGACCCTGTGGTCCACATGCTGAGGTTCTATCCACTGAGCCAAACCAGATAGGGCAGGCTATGACATTTCTTAGCCTTCCAGCAGTGGACCTTCATTTTTTTCCTCCAGTAGTGTGGTGGAAAAACCCTAGATCACCTTCTTGGATTCTTATAATCCATGTTACCAAGATCACTGTGAGTGGCGTATGTACAGGGAGCTTAGCCAATAAGCGGTCAGAAAAGGTGTTTCCTCTGCAGTTCACATGCTATCTGCCTCCACTCTGGGCCTGCTCAAGCTACTGTGGCATTTGTGGCTTGCCTCACCTCCCACGCAGTCCCCTCCATATTACTGTTCAATGTAATGTGACTCTTCTAACTGATTGCATGTCTGTATTTCAGATTTAGATTAAAAGTTTTCAGATTGTGACCAAAATGTTGTGCATATAATGCTGAACAGCCATTCCTTTGTCCCAAACAAGGATTGTCCTGAGCTTGGCAGTGGCTCTAGGAGGGCACTCTTCTTGCAGTGCCTTCACCCATTAGTCCTTTCTCTGAATAGCTGGGATGGACACATAGAGACTAAAACCTCGAGGCTTTGCTCTCAGGATTTTATAATCTCTGTTGAAACAGAATAAATATAAATGAGTAGGCAGGGAGCAGGAAGAACTTATAGAATTCTGAGGGATGCTTGGTTTAAAAGATGAGGAGAAAAGAGAAAAAAATGAAAGGCAGATTCCCTGCAGCTCTTGTTTGCCATCTGGCTGGGATGCTTTCAAACTAATGAGCAGGGAGCAGTCCAGCCTGGTTCTGTAGAAAGAAGCCTAAAAAGATCTTTGTAATGATGATAAAAATATATACCATATTAACTAGCAAAATAAAATGATTGCCCTAAAGTTCATGAAAAAATCAATATATGCTATAAACATTTTCTCTCCTTTGTAATTAATGTCACTAAATGAGAATAGACATATGTTTTTAAATAAATTTTTTAAAAATATATTACATAGATAGGTTTTTTAAAATGTTGTTCAATGTCCATGGGTATATAGAAGTTCAACATGACTCATAGGATGATGTTTCTCAAAACAGTTTAATTGTACATTTTATAGCAATATAAAGTGTGTGTCTATAATATAAGAAAGCTGAAATGCAAACCTGAGTGGAACAAATAATTAAAGTCTGCAGAGCTGAACCAATCCTCCACATGGTGTGCATCACGTCAGTATCACATTCAACACATACTAGGAAAACAGCCCTGTGAGAACTGCAAACATTGCATTTTAGCAAGTCTTCCAATTTAAATATAAGAATAAATCACTGCAATATTTTCTGCATGTATCTTATTAGGATGGCTTTCCTGCATTATTATAGCAGAGCCCTGAATTACAAAGCTAGCTCAGGTTTCAGATAAAACATGGACTGTGCAGACATGTGGGCCCAGGCATTCCTGTCAGTGTCAGGGAACTTCACCAAAGCTCCTGCACAGTCAAGCAGCAGGAGCCTCAGGAGCATGATTTTAAAGTCAGCTTTCTTAAAATTCTAACTAGATTCTTGAAATGAACAACACACACACACACACACACACACACACACACACACACACACCTCCTTTTTGCTGCTGTTTGAACTTGCCAAAGAGTAAGGTATATGAACCAAGTCTCATGAATATTAATATATACTTTGTTATTTTGGTCCCCAAACACTATCACTTTATTATACTAAATTAAAGCCCGAACAGAAACATCCAATTAATCCTCAGGAATAAAATGCATTACAGTGTCAGAGTTAATAAGCAGTTCAAAGTAATCATACCTTGATCACTCTCCTGAGCAGTGCAGTTCTTTGCAAGGTGTGCTTAGAAACCAGAATATCTAATATCAGTTCCTTTAATGATCACTCACATATGAGTTAAAATGGATAGTCACTCTTCTTTCAGATGTACAAACACTCTACTTTCTTTTACTAAGAAAAATAGGGGCGGAAATATCTAATAGAATGAAAAACCTTACCTGTCTTAGACAGATGGACAACATAAAAAGTGTCTCTGGATTCAATCATGATCACAGTGGATGGTGTTGAGCTCAAAGCTGGTTTATAGTCCCAGCTGACTAAATTCCACAAACCATTTGAACCACAGTAGCAGCTAAAGGAGGCCTTCTCTGGCCCTGTTAGCAGAGTTGTAATTAAAACCTTTTTGGTCATGTGCTATTTGTAGGAAACTTCCCTAAACTCAAAGCATCATGGGCAAAGATCCTACCTTGATGAGAATCTGAATGAACCCCGTGGCTTTTGCAGATATGAAATACCAGAAGCTCATGGTGCATGTAGCACTGGATTCTTGCCACACACCACTCTTGAGGTGTGCTTCTTCCCCCCGAAGGCCCACCGGAGTAGCCTCCAGATACAGAAAGTGCCCTAGGAACAAGGACAGGATTCAGTTAAGGTTAAATAACAACGGGGGAATTATTTCAGCTTTTCCATCTTTGAGTTATTTATAAATTAAAATATACTTGACAGACACATACAAAGATGCTCATCACTAATTATCAGGGAAATGCAAATCAAACCATAATGAGATATCACCTCACACCTATCAGAGTGGCTATTTATGAAAAAGATAAGAAATAAGAGTTGTTGAGGATTTGGAGAAAAGAAAACCCTCGTGGACTGTTGGTGGAAATGTAAATTGGTGTAGCCACTGTGGGAAAAAGTATGGAAGTTCCTCAAAAAATTAGAACTACCTTATAATCCTGGGTGTTTATCTAAAGAAAATGAAAATAGTAATTCAAAAAGGTAAATGTACTCTAGCTGGGTTGGTTCAGTGCATGGAGCGTCAGCCTGAGGACTGAAGGGTCCCAGGTTCGCTTCAGGTTGGAGACCTTATGCCTGGGTTGGAGGCTTGATTCCTATTAGGGGACATGCAGGAGGCAGCCAATCAATGATTCTCTCTCATTATTGATGTTTCTATATCTCTTTCCCTCTCCCTTCCTCTCTGAAATCAATAAAGATATATATTTTTTAAAAAGGTAAGTGCACCACTACATTTATTGCAGCATTATTTATAATAGCCAAGATATGGAAGCAACCTAGGTGTCCATAGATGGATGAATGGTTAGAGTTTTTAATTATATATCATGTGATCTGAGCTGCCAAACAAAAGGAGGCTTGCCTCTCACTCTCTTATAGAACAATTTCCAACTGTATGCTTTTAACAAAGTATTTTATACTATGCAGATTAACTCCTCTGACAGGAAATTTACGCTATTGTATCAACAAGATAGTTATAGAAATCATTTAAAGGACCCATCAGACTATCCAGTTATTGAAAACAATGCAAAAATTACCTATGAGATATAAATAAAGAAACCTTAAAAATGCAGTCATAAGTAAAGTGTATAAATGAAACACTGAGAATTTTAATAGGCAACACAATGGGAAACATGTTGAGTTTTATATCGTATTTGTGTATCCAAATATCCCAAACATTGTATGTATGTCGAGCTCAGTGTTTGGGTGGAACTTAAGCCTTCCATTTTCTGGTTTGGTCAGGCTGTTTTGGAGAGTTTTGTTTTTTCATAGGCCTGTGGAATTTCAATATTTAGACTTTTTTTTTTCTTTCCCTACTCTTAGCACCCAGGAATTCAGGGCCCCTTCTTGCTAATGCCCTATATCTTTTCACCAGTATATCTGAGATTTGCCTTCAGCCCTTCATTGTAAAAATGACAATCCCCAAAACCTTTAACTGATGAATCTTACAGTGACACCTCTACAGCTTTCACATGCTTTCACTGCATGCACATCACCTCATTTGATCTGTACAACCTATTTGGCACACAGGGCTAATTTTACTATCGCCATTTGAGAGATGAGGATTTTGAGAATGTGAACAGATCAAATGAGTGCCAGGATGAAGTGTGTGTTCTTTAGGAAATGTACCTTATGGCAGCATACATTATCCTCTATCTACACCATAAGATTAGATTTTGAATACTCATTGTTATTGGTTGATTGTGTTCACTAAGAGATGTTCAGGTCCTTATCTATCTCCAGTCCCTATAAATGTGACTTTATTTGGAAATAGGGTCTTGCCAGTGACCAATTTAAAATAAGGTCATTAGAGTGGGCCATGATTCAACATGTCTGTGTCCTAAAAATGGAGGAGGAAATTTGAACATAGAAGCAGATATGTATGGAGCGAATACAATGTGAAGACACAAGAATAATAGCTTCTGCAAGAAATGTGAGGTTACCATAGGCTGGGAGAGAGGCATGGAACAGATGCTCCTCCCTTCAGGCCCTCAAATCCAGTCCCACTGACACCTGGCTTCAGAATTTTAGCATCCCAAACTGTGAGAGAATAAATGCTGTTGTGTATGCTAATAAATGTTTGTTATTTATACTATCCAGTTGGTGGCACTTGGTTATGGCAGTGCTTGGAGACAAATACACTCACTAAATGTTTGACTTACTTGCCTGGGAACCATGGCGGTCTCTCCAGAACACTCCATTTGCTGTCAGGGAAGATGAAGTGATGCTTATTGTGAATATGATTAGAGTGACTCTACCAACCTACCAACCTACCATTTTCGTTTCCAAGTGTGTGGTCTTTGGGGGGTCTTAAGCTTCGATGAGAGCCAACTCCCAAAACCCAATCAAAGTTCTCAGCCAGGGAGTTTTGCCAGCCACACCAGCCTTGTTCAAAAGTACAAGAGCTTCCACATTCGTTTTCATCAGTGGAATCTCCACAGTCATCTATAAAATTACAGCTTTGCTCTGGTTTATAACATTGGCCATTCTGACATTCCCGATAACCATGTGGGCAGTAACCTAAAACATAGAAAACAAAACAAAACAAAAGGATGAAGAAATTAAAAGGTAGTAAAAGTGAATTCACTTCGATATATAAAGAAATATGGTGTTCTTAGGAGTTTGAGTTATCTGACCCCTATCTCTCTGTCCTAATTCTCCCCAGGGTCCCGGCCTATAGATCACTCACAAGGATCATTCAAAATGGGAAGGAAAAAAAATATATAATTTTATTAATCTAGAAAAGTACCTCAAGTCTCCTCAAAAATAGCATTTCTTATAAGCAATATTCAAGGATGTAAATTAGATCTAAAAGCCAAAGTGAGGCTTCCCATTTTTTAATCTGAAACAAAATCGTTAAGGTACTAAGAGGTTATATATTATGGGGCATTTGGAAGTACATTCCATTAGTATCCATACACTCCAATATTTATCAGAAGCCAAGTGTGTGTGTGTGTGTGTGTGTGTGTGTGTGTGTGTGTGTGTATATATATATATATATATATATATATATATATATATATATATATCTTCCTTGAAACAGGGGCAAGGATATAAAGATAATATCAAACTATCCAATAGCTTTTTCTCCACAATGCATATTTATCTGCCAATTGTTTGGAATTTTAGAAGTAACTTCTCTATAAAACAAGGTCAACCATAAAGACTTTTTCACAAAGCTTAAGATAAAGAACAATACTTGTAAAGACCTGCATTTGAACTATGACTCTGATAGTTATCAGTTACGTGATTTGATGAGCTTTTAGTTTTCCTATTTAGAAAGAAAAAAATAATAGTAAATGTAGATAGGTTAAACTAGTTAAAAAGCCTCCTGTTTATGTCAATAGCATCTAGAATAGTGTGTGGCCCTTATGTAGGTGATCACCAAATAAAAGTCAAATAAATGAATAAGTAAAATAACGTGCTTTAGAAATTATAAAGCAGTTCAGTGTGCTCACTGAAGGTATTATTATTATTATGTTACTCCAATATTACAATAGAACTATAGATAACAATATTCCAGTAGGAAAAGTTGCTTGGAGATCCAACTTGGGACATTATCTTCACATTTGCTCTGTGACACTATAGTAGCAGAAATTTTCTTCAGGTACATCTTTTCCATCTGCCTGGTGGAGGAACTGATAATTCCACACCTAGATAATTCCACTTCTAGATGATAATTTCCAGTGCCTGAGGCAAGTTGCATGGTGATGAGGATTGTGTGGGTTAGAGCTAGAAGGTGATTAAGGGATTTGTCCAAAGGTTTTTATTAGCAGGAACTCCAGCTAATAACATTTTTTCTACCTGAAAAACCAAACAGTCCAATAAAAAAATGGGCATAGGTCATAAATTGACACTGCCACAAACAACAAACAACAAAAAGTACTGGTAAGGATGTGGAGAAAAGGGAATCCTCATGAACTGTTGGTGGGAATGCAGGCTGGTTCAGTCACTGTGAAAAGCAGTGTGGAGAGTCCTCAAAAAATTAAAAATGGAACTACTTTATGACCCTGAGATTCCACTTCAGGGGATATATTCAAAGAAATATGGTATACTAATTCAAAAGAATATATGCACCCTATATTCACTACAGCATTATTTATAATAGCTAAGATTTGGAGGCAGTCAAGTGTCCATCAGTAGATGAGTGAATACAAAAGCTGTGGTACAGTTTACACAGTAGAATATTACTTATCTGTACAGAAAATAAAAAATAAAAAAGGAAATCTTACCCTTTGCAACAGCATGGTTAGACCTGGAGAGTATGCTAAGTGAAATAAGCCTGTCAGAGAAAGACAAGTACTAATGTACAAAACATACAAACAAAATAGAAACAGATTCCTAAATACAGAGAGCAGACTGACAGCTGTTAGAGGGGAGTGGTTGCGGGGCCAGGTGGAAAAAGTGAAGGGATAAAACACACACACCCAACACACACACACACACACACACACACAAAACAAACCAACATCATAGACAACAGACAATAACATTGTGATTACCAGAGGGGAAAGGGGGTGGGAGGAGGTGGAAGAGGGTACAGGGGGGGGGAGGAGGGATAAATGGTGATGGAAGGAAGTTTGACTTGGGGTGGTGAACACAGAATACAATATACCACTGATGTATCATAGAATTGTACATGCTGAAACTTATATAATTTTATTAACCAATGTCATCATAATAAATTCAATACAAAAAATCATGAAGTAATAAAATAAAATTTTATCTAGAAGCGTTTAGTCCTGAATTAGTCTCACATTTAAGAAAATAGATGGGTAAGAGGCAAGAAGTGGGAGGAGATGACTGGAATGCCATGTAGAAACCACTGGGGAGGAGACTGGTGTTCTGAAGGCTATTAGCCATTTGCACACTAATTGTTCCTGAACTGCACGGTGCAGATTGCTTCATTAAATGCTCCTTTACAATTACAAAGCCTTTGGACACAAGTTTCAACTGTGCATTATGCCTCTAACAAAACTTTCTGTTTGGTAATATTTTCCTTCCTTGCAGTGTGGGTTTAAATGATTTTCACTTACATGCCCAGGTCAGTTTATCAGATTAGGGGTAAGACAAAAGACCTCTAATGTTTCAATTACAGAGCTTAATTCTAAATCATAACCTTAAAGCATGTTTGAGCTACATAGAAATGGAGATCATTTATATTAATCCTCACATTCATAGATGAGAAATCTGAGGATTACAGACATTAAATGACTTGCTGATTTTTCAAGAGCAGAGATGCATTTGGAACCCAGGTCTGTCTAAAAAATTGTTTTTTAAAAACATTGACTTGAAGAGAAGAGTAGTGATATCAGATCAACTATCACAACATATGAGATCACCCAGGAACAAAAGTGGTGGCTTTGTCTAACAGATGCATTATTTCTCATGGGACTGTGGAAAACCCGAGAAATTACTAGATTGTTTCATTTTATTCAAGTTGGCATTGGTATTGATTTTGTCAATTCCAATTTGCTCGGAGAGTAAAACCAAACTGCTCCTGAAAATACTTTCCTCCATCGTGACTAAACCAAGATAAAATCTAATTATTTTAAAGCAAACAGGAAAATAATTTGGACATGTTTCTAGTTGGGAACACATTACATATTGCAATATATTACATAATCAATATAGCTAATATTTTAGAATAATCAGACTGATTAAGTTTTACATCTAAACAAATAGCTGCATAATTTTAAATTATAATAATTCAAATATTACACAAGATTAATTTTGAATAGAAAGCCCTGTACATTATTAAATAAAGTTTCACTGCAATAATGCATTCTACACATAAAATAACATGCAACATTTTTCAACAAATATCAAGGGATATTATCAATGCTGTTCACCTATTTCCAAATTACTTCCCTTACCTGTTGTTTTGTCCAAAGAAATCAGTTATCTTAGAGTAGGGTGTACATCTTTAAATGTTTCATAAGAGCTGATTTTAAAGCTCTTATGAAATTGTGCAACTTTGATTATTTGTTTAAATTAGGCAGTGACCCTCTTGGTGGGCAGTTTAGTTTGTAAAAAGTAAATTATGTGGGATATAAAGCAAAGAGGAGCAAACAAAACAAAAAACAAACTCATAGATGCAGACAACAGAATGTTGGTTACCAGAAGGGGAAGGGGTTAGGGGGAGCACAAAGAGGGTAAGGAGGCTCAAATAGATGGTGGAAGGAGATAAGACTTTTGGTGGGGAGCACACAGTAGAGTACCCAAATGTCATATTGTAAAGTTTGTGCACCTGAAATTTATGTAGTGTTATTAACCAGTGTTACTTCGGTAAATTTTATAAAAAGTAAATACCTGGAAAATATTTTAATGGGTAATTCAAAAGAAGTTAAATTATAAAAGTTACAAATCTCCAACTCAAATCTTAGAGACTTCTGAAACTCAAAATGCTTAACTACAATCTGTGAATTTTATCCCCAAAACTTTTTTCAATGAATAGTCTCCTCATCTTTGTCAATGGCAACTCTATAACTCCAGATACTCCAAACAAACAAACAAACAACAACAAAAACCTCGAAAGAGGCTCTGTATAGGAGTCTGACTCAATTTTTTTTTATATTTGAGTGCTGACAGCTTTTCCCCTTGTGCCCATATTTGTCAAAGCTGACTAAAAAGTCCGGTTTTTTCTCCTGTTGGCATTAGGTTCAGACCACACAAGCCCCTATCTGTGCACAGGATTCCTCCCAGTGGTCACACCCCTGTAACCACCATACAGCTCTAAGCCCCTTTCCCTGCTCTCTAAAACGACTTTTGGACACATGCCTGGGTGCTCTCCCAGTAAGCCTCATTATGTGAGTAACACATTTTTAAACCCTCTTGGTGTGTATGTGGTATCATCAGTCTTAACATCCGAGCCAAATTTGGATGAAGGTCCATCTTATAACTGTGGATCGTCTTAAGCTCTAGGAGCTGTATTAACAATAATATATATTTTATCTCATAGCTCATCTATAATATTCCAGTGAATTCTACTAATTAGCAATGCTGCTATTAAAATATATCTCATAATCTCTACTACTATATTGGTTTTAGTCACTACCATTTTTTAAATTTTTATTGCAATACTTTCTTTCCTATTCTCTGTACCCTACCCCTATCTTGCATGATCCATTAAACTTTGTAGCCTGAAGCAGAGCCAAGCCTCCTGCTTGCTCCATGGCAGCTGCCATTTCTATTTGAATTTGTTTACCTTATATAATTGAAACTTTGTATACTTGAGTGGAGGCCTAGGCCAGCCAGGGTGTGTGGAAAGCTTGGCTTCCTCTATTGCTGAGGAAACCCAAGCCTCTCAACTGCCCTCTGTGGCTGCAGCCATCTTGGTTGGGGTTAATTTGCATACTAACTCTGATTGGCTGGTAGGTGTGGCTTGAGCAGAGTGGTGGTTAATTTGCATGTTACTCTTTTGTAAGGTAGGATTAGGTTACTTACACACTAAAATGTAAGTTGAGTAGTTGCAACAGGGCTAAACACATTCAATCTTTAGACATACTTTCCTCTTAAAC